GGAAGGAAGGAAGGAAGGAAGGAAGGAAGGAAGGAAGGAAGGAAGGAAGGAAAAAAATCTGGGGTACTGCAAACAGCTCTTTTGTCCTGTCTGCACGAATCTTCTGAGGGTTTTGAACTTTATAAAGACTGTTATTTCAGAGTCCCTCTGCCTCCATAGTAGGATCACTCTGGTTAACTGCTTGAAAATCTGAAATATTTTTTTCAAATGTTTATGGTAATTTTAGAGGGAGTTTTGATTCATCTATTATACTTGATTAAATCCACAAGGGTACACAGGAATTGGCCATATTGTCAGATCTTACCATTTTTAAGGAGAGAAGGAGTTATTATAATTGTGTAGTTCAGAATCCCCTTTATGCCTTTCGCCCTTGCACACATACAACGCTTGGCCAGAAACGATGCATTCTTAGGGCTACCAGTTCTGGGCTATAAAACCTGACGAGATGTCAGCAACGTGTTGGCAGATTTTGTATCTATTGGCTGCAATCTCTTGGACATCCAGATTTTTGCGGCCCAGAGCTGGCAGCTCTTTACGTCCCCTAAAAGGGTGACTCTTCTCTGCCCCTCAGTTTTTCTTGTAATGAAGCCTGCTGCTTGAATACCAGTTATAGAAAAACAAACGATCTTTTGTCTCAAAGGAAGCAGACTGTGTACTTCCTTAAAATAAGCACTTTCCTCTTTAATATCTGTTAAAGCATCATTTCCTAAAGCAAAACGCCTTAGGGAACATGCAAAGACCCTCTTCCCCTCTCCTCCCCTTTTTTGTCAAAGGACTATATTAAAGATTTCATAAATGAACAAATGATATCCATTCTTTGGTAGCAGAACATTTACGTGTGCATTTGGGCTTAATTTGTGACCTACAATCTACGTCAGTGTTCCTCAATCTTGGCAACTTTAAGATGTGTGGACTTCATCTCCCAGAATTCCCCAGCCAGCATGAATTCTGGGAGATGAAGTCCACACATCTTGAAGTTGCTAAGGCTGAGAAACATTGATCTACATAATCCTCAGATGGAAAATTATGTACGTATACAATTTAAAAACATGTATTTCAATATTTGCAAGCCAGCAGATGCTTCTACAACATGGAGCTATTTCCCAGAATATTCTGTAGCCAGAAACAAAAGACAGAGGAAATGTAGAACTAATAATGTATTGGGCCATCCTAACTGAAAAAGATTTATGAAACACACAGCAATGCATTAGCTAACTCTGGCGTTTGTGCCTTTATTCAGAATCATCTGAAGATGTTGTAAAGATATTTATTAACGTAGTCCTTGAAAGTGACAGATACCACACGTTACTGTTCAAAGTATCGAGGAAACTAGCCATTGACTTCATTTGAAAATTTCCTAGGTCGCATCTAAAATAAGATCCAAGATCTTAAATGAAAAATATCATGACACACATCTTGGCCACTTTCTAAGGAATTGGTACACCAAGTCTCATTACTATGCTTTACCCAGAAAGGGGAAGTCTCCATGTGTGCTGAAGTTCACCTGGTGCTAGGAAAGAAGGAGAGACCTCACATCGTTTCTTGGAAGGCAAAGTCAGTGGGAGAAAGATCATTTCCAAGTGAATAGGATGGAGATCAATTTGGGTAGAGGAGTAAAATGTGCAGATGTAATTCACCTGTAAGTCCCATAGGCAGTATATGCTACATAAGGTCACCACACAATCAGGGACATATAGGAATCCAATATTCCTACTCTCTTCCACAAGGATCTTATGGAAGAAGGAGAGGGAGGAGGAGGAGGAATGAATCTATTGCCGAATACACTTACACAAACACATAGGTGGGCAGTGAAAATAATAAAAGATGAAAAGTTGCATGGATTCGCCCGGGCAGAAGAAAGAATTAAGAAAATTCTGACACCTAGTGGCCTTAATAAAAACAGCATTTGAGGCTAGCTTCCTCAAAGCAATTTGATCTGAGGTCAAATAAATCAGGATTTGGTTCAAATCAAGGCAAAAATATTTTAAACAGAAAAGTGATCTGTGTACCTGGGAGTGTATGTGTGTGAAAAGGAAATCAAACAATTGCTTAGCTGTAATAATATAGAGTAGTGAACATTAGTTATTATTTAATTCACTCTCTCTGAATTTAGATACACTGATCTACTTGGCGTGTTTTTAAACCATTGAAGGTGGAATGGGTATCTCTAACTAGCTTTGTCTCTGATTTGGCATCTCCTATATATGGTTCAGAAACTCAGCTGCAATGAAAGGACCCCTCCCCCACCCCCAAAAGTACAGAAAAAATGATTTATTGAAATAATTGGGGAAGTAAGATCTCAGTTATTCCTAAATGTCTGTTAAAGCC